ACAATAGTGATATCTATACTAATCATAAGAGTTTGAAGTACATTTTCACTCAGACAGATCTAAACTGAAGACAGTGTTGATGATTGGATTTGATTAAGGATTATGATCTAGAAGTACACTATCACCCTAGAAAGGCGAACGTTGTTGCCGATGCTCTTAGCAGGAAGAGGTACGCCAATGAGGTGCAAGTGGCATCTATGTCAAGTGAGTCATGTGCTAAACTTAAGCAACTAAACTTGGGTTTCCTCACCAATGCAGTAGAGTTGGTGATAGAGCCTACATTGGAGCTAGAGATATGCAAGGGTCAGTTATAGGATAAGAGGTTAAAGGAAATAACAGGAAACATAGTGATTAGTATGGCACCAGGTTTCTTTATGGATAATAATAGAACTCTTTGGTTTGGCGAAATACTATGTGTGCCTGAGAATAAGGCTATACGAGATGCAATTCTTTGTGAGGCACATGAGTCTGCTTACTCTATTCATCCCGGGAGTATCAAGATGTATTTGGATCTAAAAGAGAAGTATTGGTGGTATGGACTTAAGAGGGATGTGGCTGAATATGTTGCTATATGTGATACATGTTAGAGAGTTAAAGCGGAACATCAAAGACCTATAGGATTGTTGCAACTAATGAAGAAACCAGAATGGAAGTGGGAAGAAGTTGGTATGGATTTTATTGTTGAGTTACCACACACTCAGAGAGGTTATGATTCAATATGGGTGATACTGGATTGGTTAACTAAGGTTGCTCACTTTATACCGGTCAAGACTCATTATAAATGAGTCCTCACCTCTCATCTCATCTGTGTACGTACAATACTTGGTATATATAAGAAGATGATGACGACGACTCGACTCAACAGAACCGCATGCAGGCGCAGATCTAGGAGCTAGGATTGCATGCAAGAGCTAAGGTAGGTTTTTTCCTCAGCTAAACTTTTGGTGCGCTCGATCTGCCACTGATACTCGGGGTTGAAGGCTTCACAAGCTAGCTGTAGGAAGTAAATGGAGTTCTCCCATGTAGCCATGACAACCCCATGCGTCCAAAAATTGAATGCATTCGATGAAGCTGGCTTTTGCCTAGGATTCTAGGAAGAAAGCAATACATTGCTGCACAACCAGAGATGAAATGACCTTGAGTACTTTTTATATATTTTTTCCTCAAAAAGCAAGATGTATATTGTTTTTAGACTAGAGAGTAGAAGGATGGATATATATTTTTTTTTGCGAAGAGAAGGATGGATATTGATATATGAACATGTGGCCCTTCCTATCAGACAGAAGACTGATGGATGGTTGGATGGATGGATGGAGCGGTGGGGATAATCAACCGAGGACCAAAAACTGAACCGAAATACATGAGACCAAAACCCGAAATACCAGGCCAGAACCAAAAATTGAGGCACATTTCGGTCTCAGCTTCTTACTATCCAAAGTAACTTAGTGTAATTTGGTTCTGAGCATATAATTAAAATAACTAAGTTCAAAATACTATAGAGGCACAATAAGAAAATAGAGCCTAGACCAATATATGCCATTCCCTCACATCGCCTCAGTAGCCATCTCTCTGCCTCATTCTTTCTCTCACCAATGCCACCAACCGAGCAGTGGGGGGAATGCGGTTACCAGGCCATAGATAACTCGGACGACCTCCGCCCAGTTAGCATGGCTATGGCGAGAGTGGGGCTAGAGGCAGCGGGCGAAACTTCGGTAGGACATGAAGAAGACAATCACAGAGGTGGCACATCCTGATGGATTTTGGGACCATGCGGTGGTGGGCTGACGATAGATCCAGTGGTAGTGGTGCCGTTGGAACTAGACGGGAGGCAAAGGCGGTGGTGTCAGTGCTGGTGCACAGAGGAAGGAGATAAGATGGAGGGAGATTTGATCTAGGGTCTCCATTTTTTTTGAAAGGATCAACGGGGAGCAGCGCTTACTCGTGTTTATATATATATATATATATATATATATATATATATATGTGTGTGTGTGTGTGTGTGTGTGTGTGTGTGTGTGTGTGTGTGTGTGTGTGTGTGAAAAGATATTATGGGGCCTCCATTTTATATGGGGCCTCCATTTTATATGTGAGATACAAAAACCAAGTGATGGTTGCCCTTGGATCACTCGATTGTTGGCTAGACAAGCTCTAAAGTTTTAGTACCCTATCTGTTGCCAAATTATTTTTTTGTTAAATAGTTTAGATTATTATTATTGCATTAGTAAGGAGGCGGAGGGATACATATTTGTCATTCTAGTCAAATTAGGAGGGTGCGAAGTAGGTAGAGCTAGCTCTATCACCGGAATTGCCGAAAGTATGGAAAGCATTGTTGAATGGGCTGTGAAAGGGAAGAAGCGAACGACCGTCATGAGTGAGGGAAAGAAGAATACCAATCTATTTCTAAAATGAATTACTCCTCGATTAAATTGAACAAAAACTATAAGAAGACGGAGAAACCGAAGCCTCCGAGGGCAGGTGTAATGCGTCGCGTCGCTCGCTGGCTGGGCCGGTCGTCCGTCCCCGGACCCGGGCACTGGTGGGGGTGGGGCGATCGATCCGGCGATGGATGATGCCCCTCTGCTGCCGACGATGCCTTGCTTTGGCGGGCCCGGCTGCCACTGCCACTGCGATTGGCAGGTGCCAGCCATTCAGCCCCAGCGGCTAGCCATACTGCATGCCAGTAGTATATACTAGTGCTCATTGAACGACAACACTAGTGCAGTGGCACAGGTACAGAAGCCTACTGGTAGGCCGACAAGTGCCTGCTTCCAGGTGCTACTGTTTGTCAGCGAGCTCTCAGAGAACAGGCACGGTGTGTTTTATAGCCTATCGGCCTTCGGTAAGCTGACAAGTGCCTGCTCAAGGCTCAGCGCTACTGTACGTTAGCAAGCTCTCGGAGAAGGCCCAATTGGACCTCATGGCCTGTTGAAATGACCAGGCATCCGGGCCTAAGGTGTATGCAAGTGCCCAACAGCACAAAAATATCTTCCACTCAAAAGAAAAAAAAAACACAAAATAATATCTCTGATTCCATATCTTGCTCACAGTCCCACATACTCTCCTTTGGTCGTGTTGGCAACGATCGATCAGCAAGAGCTAAGGTAGGTTTTTCCTCGGCTAAACTTTTGCGCGCTTTCGATTCACCGCTGATACTTGGGGTTGAAGGCTTCACAAGCTAGCTGTAGGAAGTAAATGGAGTTCTCCCATGTAGACACATGACAACCCAATGCGTCCAAAATCAAATACATTCGATGAAGTTGGCTTTTGCCTAGGATTCTAGGAAGAAAGCAATACATTGCTTGCTGCATGACCAGAGATGAAATGACCTAGAGAAAGGATCAAATGGGGAGCGCCCTACCTGTTTATATATATAGTGTGTGTGTGTGTGTGTGAGAGAGAAAGATATTATGGGGCCTCCATTTTATATGTAAGGATACAAAAACCAAGTGATGGTTGCCCTTGATCACTGGATTGTTGGCTAGACAAGCCTAAAGTTTTTAGTACCCTATCTGTTGCCAAATCATTTTTTTTTGTTAAATAGTTTAGATTATTATTGCATTAGTAAGGGGGCGGAGGGGATACATATTTGTCTCTAGTCTGATTAGGAGGGTGTCGGCAATAGGTAGAGCTAGCTCTATACGTGGAATTGCCTCGAAAGTATGGAAAGCATTGTTGGAATGGGCTGTGAAATGGAAGCGAACGACCATCGTGAGCGAGGAAAGAAGAATACCAATCTATTTCTAAAATGGATTATCCCTCGATTAAAAGGAACAAAAACTGTAAGAAGACGGAGAAACCGGAAGCCTCCGAGGGCGGGTATACGTCGTCGCGGCTGTCGCTTGGGCTGGTCATCCGTCCCGGACCTACCATAGCCCCAATTGGTATGGGGCGATCGATCCGCCATGGATGATGCCCTCTGCTGCCGGACGATGCCTTGCTTTGGTCGGCCTACGCTGCCACTGCCACTGCAATTGGCAGGTGCCGCGCAGCCAATTCAGCCCCTCAGCGGCCAGCCATACTGCATGCCAGTAGTAGCCTACTAGTGCTCCGTAGAACGACAACGCACACTAGGTGGCAGTGGCACAGGTACCGAAGCCCACTGGTAGGCCGGACAAGTGCCTGCTCTAGGTGCTACTGTTCAGCGTTAAGCTCTCGGAGGGCAGGCACGGTGGTTTTAGAGAGCCTGTCGGCCTTCGGTAGGCCGACAAGTGCCTGCTCTCCAAGGCCAAAGTGCTACTGTACGTTAGCAAGCTCTCCAGGCCCCAATTGGACCTCGTAATATGTTGATATTATCGGGGCCCAAGGTGTAACAAGTGCTTAACAGCACAAAATATCTTCCTCAAAGAAAAAAACACAAAATAATATCTCTGATGATTCATATCTTGCTCATAGTCCTACATACTCTCCTCC